ATATTTTGTTACTTTAAATATTTATAATTATTTAAATATTTTAATTAATTAAATTCTTTTGAATTAAAATTAATTGTTTGTAATTATTTAAAATTTCTCTATTTTTGCTGAGAGATTCCTGGTCCATTTTTTTTCACCAAAATATTCCTAAGGTGGCTTCATCAGTATATAATGTCTGATGCTAATTTATCTTCTAAACCATATTTTATACTGATATTTAGTAATCCACATATTTTGGTGTCACTTGCTATTTAGTTAAAATAAGATTTAGGCAAGGTTGCAAACTTAGTAGTGAATTTAATTGATGAGCATTGGATATGAAAAACAATAAAAGCATCGCAGATGTAAACCCGAATAGGAGAATATCGGATTTTTATATTCGATACACACCTCTTCATATCAATTTTTATTTTTTCTAAAATATTTTTATTAAATTTAATAAATTTATGCAAATTATTTTTTAAGAATTAATAATTATTTAATTAAAATAGAAGAGAAGAACCAATTCAAATAAATGGGGATCCACGGTTCATAATCATAAGGAATGAAATGGGGTGCTTCAAAACAAATTTAAGGTTTTCAATACTATGCATAGAATTCTCGACAAACAAAAATTAATGCATAATCACTTTCATTTATTACAGGGCATTTCCGGAATTAAGAGTTGTAGATGAAAGGGATGGAGATGCAAGATGAAACACCCCTTTAAATAGGTGCAAATAGGCCTTGAATCAATTACAAACAATAAAAACTGAAAATAAAAACTGACAATAAAATATCAACAGACTCAAAATAAAATCTACTTAATTTATCTGTATCTTATATCAATAAAATAAAATAATACTCTCCTAAATAAATGGAAAATCAAAACTACCTATACCTATTTTATCTCTATCAAAATCAAATCAAATGTTACTCAACCCAAAACTAATAAAATAAGATTTAAACATAATTATTAATAAAACCCTAAAATTTAAGTTTACCCCAACAAACTCTCCCATAAACTTAAATTATTCCTTCCTTCATTCGACTTTCCATGTGCATCATCCCACACCGGGTTTGCTTCTTTCAATCAGATTTGACTTCTTCTTTTTTCTTATGGCTCTCATGTCTTTTACCTTGGTTGACCTCTCTAATGCTTTGACTGGCTTTGTTATACTCGACTTCTCAATAACCTTGACTAACTCATTTTTGACCTTAGGCGATTTCTCAACAATCTTGGCTGACGTCTTCATCGGGTTCTTCACAACATCTTCATCTTCCTCTTCGGTTCAAGAATACTAGATGTTTTCTCTTCCTTTTCAAGAGTCGCCTTCTTCAGCTCCTCAAGCTCAACCCTCTGTTTATCATAATTTCATTAGCTTCATTTAGAAGCCTCCCTATCCGCTGAATCTCTTCATCTTTTTGTTTGAGTTCTTTCTCCAGGTTTTCCTTCTCCACAATTGTTGCATTCTATATCGAGATCACTTCATCCATTGTTGAGATCGGGCTCTCCATGTCCACTACATCCGAGCTCTTTACCAGCAATAGTTCTTCTACATCTTCAGTAAGGAAATTCGTCACTCCCTTTGTCTCTGCCTTGCAATACTTTGCAATATGGCTTGCCTTACCACAATTGTAGTACTTGTTTGATCTACACTCGTTTGCATAGTGAATGTACTTGCCACACTTAAAACACTCCACTTTTGACCGATCTCATCGGCCTTTCCCTTGTCCTTGGTCACGCCAATTCTATTGACCGGTTTGCTCTTCATTATCATTCTCAAAATTACATCGGCCACGTCCACCTCTTCTTTGGCCTCCTCGTCCTCTACCGCCAGGACCTCGGCTTTAAGTAATCCGAGTTTTATTTGAATCAAACTATACATGTAGTGCTTGATCGTCAGGTTCAACCTGATCATCCCAACTCCTTCTCCTTTGTTCGTGGGCTTCTAATGACCCAGCAAGTTCATCCACTGTAAGAACCCACAAGTCCTTCGATTCTTTGATGGTGCAAACGATACTTTCAAAATCTTTTGTAAGGGATCTCAAAATTTTTCCCACAACTCATCTTGATGGCATTTGTTCTCCATTCCTACCGAGTTGGTTGGTCACTTTCTCCACCCGAGTTATGTACTCGATTATACACTCTTTGGACGCCATCTTCAACTGTTCAAACTCTCCTCTAAGAGCTTGTATTCGGACTTGTCTAACGCGGTTGTCACCTTTATACGCAACCTCCAATATCTCTCAGGCTTCCTTTGTTGATTTGGCATTCTCTATTTTTTCGAATCTCGACTCATCTACTGCATTGTAGATAAAGTATAATGCCGACCCATCTCTTGCTTGAGTTTTCTTCAACGTTGTCATCTGTGCCACCGTCTGATGTTCATCCTCATCAAGTTCAACGTACCCGTCTTCCACTATATCCCAAACGTCTTGGGATCTTAATAACGCCTTCATCTGTAGGCACCAATTATAATAATTGGTTTTTCTCGTCAATTGTGGCACACTCATACTATTGACAACCTTTGTCATCTCTCTCAAAAAAAAATCAAGCACTCACTTTTTCATTCACGATGTTTGACTCTCTCCTCTCTATCTTTTTCTCTCTCGGTACTTAGAGCATAAAGCTCTGATATCAATGTTAAGAAAAATGTGACCCACACAAATAATAGTATGCTTCAATTCACTGGGGTTACTTTTCATTGAACCTTGGCAACCTTTAAATAGGTGCAAATAGGCCTTGGACTAAATACAAATAATAAAAACTGACAATAAAATATCAACAGACTCAAAATAAAATCTACTTAATCTATCTCTATCTTATCTCATTAAAATAAAATAATACTCTCCTAAATAAATGGAAAATCAAAACTATCTATACCTATTTTATCTCTATCAAAATCAAATAAAATATTACTCAACCCAAAACTAATAAAATAGGATTTAAACAGAATTATTAATAAAAACCTAAAATTTAAGTTTATCCTAACATAAATTTCATACCTAATCTCGTGTCTCAAGCACAAAATTATACTCAAAACAATCAAATAAGGGCCAATAAAATCCCAACAAAGAGCACCAGAATCAAAATCTCAAATAAAAATGGGAAAGAGCAGAAAGTCACAACACTGAATAACAACCATGAAATGCGAAGAAAGAGGGTTGAATGACCATGGAGATGGAGCATCGACTGCAGCTTCCTCCCTTGGTCAGGCTAGTAGCAAAAGCAATGTAGGGTTTGATCGTGAAGGCAGCACGATGTTGATGGCGTCTTTAGGTGTGGTGACAGCCTTCGTCGGTGTTTCACATTATTAAAACAGCAGGAAGAATCCAACACAATTTAGAGATCGAGAAGAAGAGGCACCCACACCGTGGATTTCATCTCCGTTGGTGACCAATGGTGGTCGTCACTCACCTTCTTCCTTTTAGGTTGGGTCATATTTTTTCTCTCAAGTTGTGTTGTTTTGTTTGTCTCGTTTTGAGTTCAGTTGAGTGTGTGAATGATGATGAGATGAGATAAATGAAATGGAAATTATAACAAAATAATGATATTCGCGACAAGGGTCAACTCCATTTCTAAATCACTTACAAGTTACGGGTCAATCCAACAACCAACTCGTCTTCAACCGAACATGTAAGATGATTCGAATTAAAAGAGACTAATATCCTAATCCAACACACATTTTTCTAACATATTGGCCCATTTTTATATTATCATGTTATTGATGAACATTTATCAATGGTAAACAATCTTCACTTAAAGAACTTTTTATTTTTTTTCTTTCAGTTAGGTTTTGGTAACCTATATAAACTGAACCAAATTTAGTATCACTTAAATAACTTATTGACCAAGAACAATTACATACTAAAAATGATTTAAAACAAAGTAGACGATTATATTATTTTGATATTTATTTATTAATTATAAAAAATGAGTTCCTAACAAAAATAAACATGAGATAAATATCCAATCATCTTTCAAGTGTCATTTTATAATCATCTAATAATTCATATATAAGAAATGACTAGGTAATAAATAATAAAAAGCTAACTACTAACAGCATTCTAGACTCTGCCTTATGTCAAAGAGGAAATTAATGAGAAAAAGACTAAAATCGTTATAAAAATGTTTAATGAAAATGAACTTTGCACTAGGAGAAAACCTAATGGACTAATGTGAGGGGAAGAAATTATAAAAAGGAGAGATGACGTTTGTCATTTAAGATAATTTTGTCCAAAATTTAGCCTCCTTCCTTTTTCCAATTTCATTTATAATCCTTTTTCCAATTTCATTTCTAACTCCATTGCATAAGGTCTACAAAAACAAAAACCAAAAAAAATATAATTTTGACTCTTTAAAATCTTTACCCAAATACCTTACCCTTTTATAATGTTCAAAGTATTTTTCCTAAAACAGTGTGAAAGTTCAATAATGTCTCTATTTAGACTTGGTTACACTAAAATCATGTCCATATTTTATAAACTCTCATTTATATATATATATATATATATATAGTATACAATATGGTTCAGTACCCTTCAAAATTTAAAAAGACCGAAAGCAAGTAGACCCAGTTCCAAAAATGTCAAAGACATTTTAGCCTATCAAAAGTATTTATCGTCTTAAAATAAGTTATCTTAATAGTACCATTTTATTGTTATTATAGAATAAACTCAAATTGAAAGGTTTAACAATCACTAGACTAGACTCATCCTTTCCAATGACCCATTAAATATGAAGTGATATACACTTTCGGTTCTAATCACTAATCATAATTTCTACCAAGGGCTTCCCATTTTTCAGTAATGGTCATTTCATACAGATGACGACCGTGAAATAACAGGTAAAAGAAAACCATAATTTCTAGGCCAGTATTAGACGAGGTTCTAAACATCAGGGAGAAAATCACATCATCTCAATCACTGCACACGGTAGTGTGTCCAAGGGCATGCAGAATGACATTCTATATCCCTAACACTATTAAAGACGATTTATTATACAGTAATTCAACCTGTACATAAAGCAAATCATCATTCGAAGAATAAAGCATCGGTTCAAAATGAAATTATTTGGACATCTTGTCCCTAACCTTCTGTTCAATTCACCACTGAGCCTGACCGCATAAAAACCAATCCAACCTAGGGCACCTAACAATCATAATGAGCTGGATCTCCTACACCTAGAATTCAGAGGCAATGAGCACTCTATAATTGCCTTTTGTACAGTCTATTTTAAAAAATATATAAAAACAGGGAATGTCACGGTGCCATATCAATCTATAGATAGAGATGAACAGCCATACTCTGCCAATTAAATTATAAAATTGCTCCGGCATAGCAACAAAACCAGCCATGCCAAGATCACTGGCATACTATTTGCAGAAGTGCAGCTCCTTCCCTACAAGTTTGTCTTTGAATTTACCTTCTTGCATTTGCTATCCTATGCCTCCGTCTTCTTCTAGAGCTTCCTAACAGTATCCTGTGGAGTCTGCGTCCAGAGACAGCAGCAGAACCTGCAGATGCGACACTCTGAAAACCAAAGCGATCAACATCGAAAGAATCTCCAGCACGATCCTGATTATATCTAATGTTCGGCAAAAAGTGACGAGTTCTCCCCAAGCCAATGGACCTAACTGAGAAAAAATTATCCTCTAGATATTCACCGTCTGAATCATACTCATCACTATAAAAGGTATGAGAAAAATCATCCTCTACATATTCACCGTCTGAATCATACTCATCACTATAAAAAGCATGGTCATTTGGCTCCAGCACATAATCCCCCAGTACCATAGCCCCTGGCGTTGAAGATAAAATTGTGCTAATAACATCATTTCGTTCTCTTTCACACTCAAACCTCTTCCATTTTTCTTCTCTTATTGGGTCCACTTCTCGGGGTCGTGCAGATGGATGCTTAGACTTAACATGTTTCCTAAGCTCCTTGTAATTCCCCACAAAAGAGCAGTCATCCTGCATGCAACTTCTTTTCTTGGCATTCAGAGACTTCCTTGCGGCTTCAACCACTGTCCAACCTTTCACCTGTCGGCGACAAAGGGGGCAAAGAAGCTCATGAACTTTAGTGTTGTCTTGAGATTCACCTGTGCTTAAATCAAGATTTGAATTATTTGCTTCTAGCTGCAAACTTTGAACAGATGTTGCTTTAGTATATGCTTTTTTATATTGTTCAAAACAGTTTGAATAGCGATGACTTGTTGCACACATATAAGGGCGACAACCCTTGTCATAAGACGAACAAAGCAAGAGAATGGCATTGTGGGGGACCTCCATACATACAGAACAGGTTATATCTTTCCAATCTTTCTTCTCCGATGCTTTAGAAGAGCTCTTCTTTACAGTAAGATCTTTCAGATTTTTTCTTGCACAAGACAAAAGACATGGTGATGACTTCCGACCTTGAGACTTGTTCCTCAACTTACTAACTTCAGCCATTTACCTGAAACTAATCCAGGAAAGACAATCCGTGTAGGTCTGTTAGAAAGGAGAGAAAGTGTAAAATAATAAATTAATATGTTAGTTATTCCAAATACAATCATCAAATGTCTGAAGTACATATTTCACATTATACCATTTATGACGTAGAAATTTTTACAAAACCTATAAATGTGTTAGCAACAAACACATGTAAAATGATCATAATGATTCAACCATTCTCGATAACTTTTGCAGTTACATCTAAGTCACAAATGGTAGGATAGTATTGAGTCAAGATTAAATAAAGGATGTTTAAATAACAATTTAAAGCACAACATTAGGACGTCCTTGCTCACCACGATTAGCACTAATCATGTGATTCATATAGTGAATATAATAGAGGGCATAAAAACACAGCAAGTTCCATCATATAAAACAGCAAGCAAAGCTTCGGTCTACAGAAAATTGGAAATAAAATTATAACTACGAGATAATGTGAAATAACACCTAATAAGTACAATCACTAGCTTGCAAAATTGTGTAACAAGCAGCACCACTACAAAAGTCAACAAATACAAATTAAACCAAAGGTGTGTAAAACCAAACCATCTATACCATTCCCTATTACATATCATCAGGTCGTTCCATGGAAATAGAATCTTAAACAAAACCTACAATAGAATTTGCCTTCACTAAATCTTTCTCAACTTGATTCATGTATCCACACTGCCAGACTTCAGTCTTGATAGCAGTCGGCCCTATGGAAACGGAATCTTAAACAACAATACAATAGAAAGCTATGCCATTGCTTTCACTAAATCCTTATCATCTTGATTCATGTATCCACACTGCCAGACATTAGTCTTGATAACACAGTCGTACGGAAATGGAATCTTAACACATACAATAGAAAGCTATTCATTGCTTTCACTCAATCTTTCTCATTTTAATTCATGTATCCACACTGCCAGACATCAATCAGTCTTGATCTACTATAGTCATTTCCGTCGAGGATAGACACTGCAACCTTTACGACCCATTGAATTTCCTTCAGTTCAGTCATGACATCCCAATTTTATGCATCCAAGTTGCCATTTTTTTATTGGATACACCAAACGAGTAACAGTATAAAATGCATAAAACAAGCACCATAGAGAAGACGGTAAACGGTAGATCATTCATTAGAAGATGAATGATAGAAAACAACATAGTTAAAATAGCAATTTCACCTTAAATCGGGAAGAGTGATAAAAATAGCATTTTGAATCAATGGATTTTACAAAATTATTAATCCATATTCTATGGCATTAAATTCATAAGTCATAACCCATTAAGTAGCATGAAACTTAACAAAAACATATTCCAAAACACAAAAAGGGTCAAGAACACATCAAAACCTTGCAAGGTAGAATATATTAAACACAACGGAAACATAAATACTCTACTCTTAGAATCTAGATGTCTGATCCAGAAAACTTATCACATTATAATCACAAGGATCCACCAATACATCCCCATTTTCATTTCCATCAACTTCACAATCCAAATAAAAGCTCAAACATATTAGTAATGGTGGAAGACAAGCCCAGAACAGCAACAACTCAGATAACAGAGGAAGCAAGCAGAGGAATAACTGAGAACGGAAGAGTGGAGAGTAAGCTTCATACGATGACTAGGTTTTCACCAAATCAAACAAAATGAGCAATGAAGAATTTACGTATGATTTGAACTGCGGAGTGTGATTAAAAAGGTAAAGCCGATGGATTTGATGATTTAAATCCCAACATTAATTACCATGAAAGAGAATCTTCTTTATATCCTGATCCTTCTAAACCCATTTGCTTGTTTCTCAAGCTAACAAAAATTATATGAATAACCCCTACAGAAAGTTTATGCAGATCTCAATGTAGATCAGCACATACAAAATTACTGGATACTTTATAACACTCTTCTTTATATTATAATCCTAAATATCCTTCATTTGCAACACTTGAGAACTATTTCAAAATGTCATTAAAACTTAGTAAGTAACAATACACATAATACATCTAATGCTCACTCACATTAATATTGGGTTTCCTTTTCAGAGATCGCAAACTGATTAAGATCTCCTAACTACAGTATCACACTAGCATAACCAAGTAATGATTCTTTACTAGATGCTAATCATTGAGCAAAAGGGTCCAAAAAAGCTATGTGGATGGAAATTATTTTTAAGAAAGTATCCTCTATCAACACAAACACGCATGCCTATTCTCTAATAATGCCAAAGACTTGAAATATAGAAGAACATCATGAATTGTAAATGTAGACCCATCATGACAAAAACCAGGAGTAATGAATTACGACTTCTGACATGAACCTAAATATTTAACTTCTGCAAAAGATATAATGCAAATCCATGTGGTCATAGAGATAGAAATAGTCAGATCAAGTAAGGCCTTGTCAAACCAAAGCCTGGCCTATTAGTTTGTTACAATTCTTTTTTTAAGGCTTGGCCTGTTCTATTTAACCTGTTAGTTCGCCAAAGTGTTTGCTTTTTCATTCACACAAAACCAAACAACGCATATTTTTCAACATCACTTGATTTCTTCTCACTTCTATGTCTTTCTCTTTTCTTTCCTCGAGATAAGAGCCAAGCCCTTTGGTAACCACCCTCGGAAGCTAGTCATTAAAGAAGAGAAAAACACATTCAAATACTCCACCAACCAACTCAGACAACTCAACGCAGGACTTAGGCAACCTTTGATGGCATTGTCCCCATCACAGCACAACTCTTAAGGTGGACGTCTAAAAACTTGCACCAAATTTTGCTTGATGACATTACACTTAACTTTCTTGTTGGCCAAAACCCTCCATAACCCTTTCCAAAGACATCGACAACTAACTCTAATGCCAATAGATAAGCACCCAACTTTAAAGGCTGGTAGTTAGAAGTGGAGAATCAAACACTTCGATATTCCACTAAGCATCACACGCTACTTAACTCTCTATCAGAGCCACGAAACACACCGTAAAACAATGAAATATAAACTAGTACTTCTAAAACTAAAACAACGAAATCAATCAATCCAAAGCAAACAAAATGACAATCCATAAAATAAGAAATATACTCAACTCAACAAGTTTCATGGTTGACCTTGAAAAAGAGCAACTTTGATGACAACTTTTTTTATTTCCAGAAACATCAACATATGTATAATATAGTCAAGAGAATTCAGTATCATCCATTAATACCATAAGTTGTGTCCTGTCATACCTCTTATAGGATCTTACCAAGAATAGTTCCACTTGGCATGAAACAATGCACCACACGCACTGGAAGTGTACAGGACGTAACATCAGTCAAAGAACCAAAACGAAATTATCCAAATTATAGGAATTGTTCATACTATATTTAATTCCCTTATCTTACCAATCTAAGTTTTCAAAAACTCATTCATGCGCGGAAATCTCGGTTACAACATGGAAACAGACAATTATGTCACTGATGCGGAACTAAATACAAAGTTATAAAGAAAGGTTCAATATTTAACACATTCGCGGAATTCAAAATCGTGGATATGTTCTAGTCTGAGCAGCGTGGGGATCGTGAGGTGTAATTTGTAAATCGAGGTCTCATGCCAAACGAAATTTTCTAAAAGCTCCACAGAAACATTTTCAAGATTGCATAAAAAGGAAGAAACGGAGGCATCAAAGGAGACGACAGAGGAGAAAAACCCTCACGATAGGAGTCGATTGGGAAGAGATAAGTACCTGTAACTGGAATTCACGAGAAACGGTTAGCGGGGCGTCGTTTTGTTGAAACAGTGGAAATGAAGGATATCAGAGGAGTGTTCCGATCTTCGCGCTCACGCTCCCCAAAATCCGATTATAGAAAAGGCTGGCAGAGGTGACGTGTGCCTATACTGCAACACCTAACCTACACAATACTAGTTCTTCTCACTTTTTCACGTTTTATAATTCCATCCAAATGAAAAAGAGGAATGCTGCTTTACGTGGGCTTATGAGCCTCGTTAACATGTTGACCGTTGGCCCATTAACCTTTCTTTTATGGTTGTTGCTCCCTCCACCATCACCACAGCCTTCTCCCCTCTTTACTATTTTGATCCTCAGTAAAATTTTATTTTTAGAATTATTGTTTTTTTAATTTTACTCATTTATAACATATTTCACTGATAACCTACGTAGTTCCTTGTATGAGTAAAATATTTTTCTGCAAAGCTCAGTGATCGTGAAAAGCATTATCAAACAATCTTCCTCTTGCTTTCGGTGCAGTACGTGGTGCAGTGCGTTTGTGGTGTAATGTGCTTGTTGTGGTTCCTCTCCAGGTACGTAGTCATAATCCTTCCAATAATCCTAAACCCTAAACCCTAAACCCTTCCAATAATCCTTCCAATAATCTTTCCAATAATCCTTTAACCCTAAAACGTAAAATGAAAACGAAGCCTAAACGGATGACATCCTTCAACGGATGTCA